AACTTGTGTCGCTAAAGTTTTGTCGGAACGAAGTTACGGAAAGTTAATTAACAAACGGAGACGTAACAGTATGAAATGTCCCTGTTAATAGCAAAGACTGGACAACCGCATACAATAGCAGAGGAACTAATTCTACCTGCTGCTAAAGCATTTACACCTAGAAGACAAAGCAGCAAAAAATTTTAATTTGATTTCATTATCAAACATCATTGTAAAGCGGCGAATTGAATACCTGTCTGATAATGTTAAAAACCAGCTAGTGAAAAAAAGTGCACAAAAGAGAATGTTATTCTTTGCAATTATATGAAAGTAGAGATGTTTCTAACAGTGCTGACTTGCTTGCATTCACACAGTATGAATCCGATGGTAACATTAGTGAAGATTTTTTTATTCTGCCAGTCATTGCCAATACATATTACCATCTAGGCTATTTTTAATAATTTGAATGATTTCATAATTATAAATGAAATTGGGTGGTCAAAAAGTGTAGGAGTCAGTATTGATGGGGCTCCTGGTATGTCAGGAAAATACAATACATTCATTGCAAATATTCTATCTGTCATAACAAATGTCAAATGGACTCATTGCTGCATACATAGAAAACCATTGGCAACAAGAAAGATACCAGGACAATTTAAGACTACGCTAGATGAGGCAGTGAAAGTGGTTAATTTTATTAAAGCCCATCCCTTAAATTCATGTATTTTTAATGTTCTTTGTAAAGAGGTGGGTAGTGCGCATGAACAATTGCTCTTACATTCTCAAATGCGTTGGCTGTCTCGCAGAAAAGTACTTACCCGCTTATTTGAGTTGCGTTATGAAAATTGAATATTTATCTGTGATAAAATATTTCAATAATTTTTCGTGGCTAGCTATGGTGGCATATTTGTCTCATGTTTTTATATATTTGAATGGCCTAAATTTGAGCATACAAAGGAGAGCTGTAACTATTTTGAAAGTTGAAGATAAAGTGGAAACTATGATTATGAAATTAGACTTGTGGTCAGAATGTCTTCAGAAGGGTGTGTTTGAATCATTTCCAACACTCAATGGTTTTCTTACAGCATCTGACGATGACTTCTCTCAATAAATAAGAAACCTTATCATTCACCACTTGCAGATTTTGAAGAACTTTAAGGATTATTTTTTCCTGCCTGATGCCAATAACAAGTGGATTAGGGATCCATTTAATGTAGATGTAAAAAGTGTAAACTATTTAACTGCAAGTGAAGAAAATAGCCTTGTTGAACTTTCATGTGACACCTCTTTGAGGTCAAATTTCATTCAGTACAACGTATCGGATTTTTGGTTGCATATGAAAAAAAAAGAGTACCCTGAACTGCCATCCAAAGCACTGAAATATTCCATGCCTTTCCCAACTACATATTTATGGGAGCTTGGCTTTCTCCCAGCTGTTTTTTAATCAAAATACAGAAACTGCATGAATGTGGAACCTAATCTACACTTGAAACTGTCTACAATTAAGCCTGAACATAGTATCAACCAAGCCACATCAACCATCTCATTAAACAAATAAGTTTTTAATACTGCTGTTTTTTTAATTGCACACTCAGTTATATATGTATTTTATTTGATAGTAAAAAATGGGAAAACGAGTTAATTATTAGTTAATGAAAAAAAATTTTGGGGTATACGGAATCTTTCAAAAACATGGGGTCCGTGGGGAAAAATAATAATAAAATGGGTCTTTGGTGGTGAAAAGGTTGGGAACCACTGATCTAGTCAGTCTTAGGGTGTTTTAATCCAATCGCGAGATTTGACCGTCACTCTTATAACGCACCAACGGAAAGTGATTTTGCGAGGTATAAGTAATGTCGAGCTTAAATAGGAATGCCACTCTGTTTGTCATTCTGAATCCAACGAGAATAAACCTTACATGATGAATGTCGTTTCTGTCTCTATTAACCAACACGTTATTCAGCTCGTCCTCAGATAGACGTTCTTAGGTGTATTAAACTGTCTACTTCATCTGGTATATGCTGCACACATTCTTCAGACAATCATAGAAAGCCCAAAGTCGTTTCAATAATTTTTTCATATTACCTTATTTCGCACAAAACCTTTGAACTATACAATCTGTTGGAATGTGTTGGATTGTTTCATCAGTTCCAGCTCGCGTTGTGCAACAACAGAATCAGCTCTTGTGTCTTGTGTGAGAGCAGGCTGATAACAGTTGCAAATATTACTTACAATCCTCACATTATCACACGAAAAAGAAATGTGAATGTTAGTAAATACATCCAATTCTTTATGCGACCATTCATTGCTTCTATCACCCAAAGCAGTTTTGTGACAAACCTTGAAAGATTGAACTCCTTTGTAAATACTAGTTACATCCCTAGACAAACCTTGAAAGATTGAATTCCTTTATAAATATTAGTCATACCACTAGTGCAGAAAGAATGATATCTTGCGTTTACACTCAGTTCCTTAAACAGATTAAAGTTTCCCTATAGGTCTTCTATCCACAAAAGCCACGTTATTAACATCATTTTGGGATATGAAATGAGTAATTGTTACAACAGCATTTTACCCATCAGCAAGATATGGACAAAAGAACGACATAATACAACCATTAGAGAATATAATCATCATTTATTTGAT